TAGCTAACAAGATCCTACAGACATCAAAAAATAAATGAGGTTCCCTGCTCCAGTTACAGCAACAGCCCTAGAGCTTCAAAGAGGTCACAGGTGTGGAAATTGGAGGACTCTTAATGGAGACTGAGATAAAAAGGGATTCTCTAAAGCCTTGGATGTAAGTTTCTGATCTGAAGAGTGGTGAGTAATGCAATTGCTAGGAGGTATCCTTGGCTTTGCCTGGAGCATGCTAACAAGCAATCAAAACGCTTGCCCACAGCCAAACTGTTCTTTCCACTCTTTAGAATAATAAAAGCATTACACACAAACCCCACTGTTAATGCAACATGTGGGTGAAGTTCCAGGCTATTGTGTATAAAACTCTCAGTCTTAATTCCAGCAGTAATTATAACTTGTTCCTCTCTCCCCTGTTGGATGGTGACACTGCAGGAAGTGATGCAAAGTTCTCTGTTTGTGCATGTGTTAACTTACGCTGACTCTAGGAACAGAGTCTATCTAATCTCTTCATTTTTTTCTTTACCTGTCAAAGTCTCATCTGTAATACTGTGCAACTGGAAACTTTGTGCATTGAACTTCAATGTTTTGTCTGTCTTCAGTACTGTTAGGAGCTGGTTGTACTGCTTGTGGATATTTTGCTGCTTTTCTATTTATAATGCAATCTGACATTTGTTTTCCTCTTTCTCTTGAGGCTGATTTTGTTCAAATTAGAGATTTCCTTCAACACATGTTTTCTCATTTTCTAGTCTGCAGTTTTTGAGGCCCTCAGCAGTTTAGGCTGTGAGGTCCTGCCCTTGTCTATACTTGATAGAAAAAGTGTAGTGAATACCACTAAGAATTCATCATTTGCTGCCAGCTATCTGTGGTAACCTTGATAGCTCCTGTTTGAACAGAAGGGATCCAGCAATTATTGCTGAATGTAAAAGAGTTTTTAGCGTTGCCTTTGTATGCAGGGTGTGAGAAAGTCCAAGGCTTTTTATTTATGCTGGTATATTACACCATATAATTGCATCCATCTTTTGATCTGTGGTATGAATTAGTTCCATTGAAAACATGTTTTCTATTTTTAAATTGGTTGTCTTGAACTGAGTTCTTGAAACATTCTGCTTTTCGGTCTTGTTTTTGTGTAGATTTTCCATATTGTGCTGGGTTTAATATAATTGTTGACATGTTGGGTTTGAGGTTTTTTCCTTTACTTTTTTTTTTCTCTATTTTGTTTAAATCTCTCGATGTTTTATGTTACAGTGTTGTATTTATCCAGATTGAGTATGTAAGTTATCTCATAATATCTGAGCATCTCACAGCTCAGAAATGTGTGATGGTGAAGTGCTGTTAGCCAGTGTTAGAAAGGGAGAATGGAGGTTTGGAGGTCTTAAGTGCTGTGTTTCTGTATTTGACTTGACTAACAGTCTGTGTCCAGCGAGGGCTAGACTGGAAGCCCAGGGGTCCAACCATGGTCAGTAGGGACAGAGAAACATCTTGAAACTTGGATCATAGGTGGGATGATATCTGCAGGGCCTTCTTTTTCTCCACTGATCAGCAGCCAAGTCTAAATTCTGAACTTGAGTGCATAAATTGCAAATCTGAGGTTAAATGGAACTACTGAGGCCCAAGTAACTCTTCCAAGGAGCGTCATATTCTCCTTGTCTTCTCTGTAGCTCCTGTGATGCTCACAAAAAATGTGAGCTGTGCTACCAGCAAGCTATACCTATACCTGTCCCTATACCTGAGTAGCATGGCAGTGTTTTCTTGTGTTCCCCAACCCAAAGTCATTTGCTGTTCTCTTTTATTATGCTTGAAGTCTGGTCCGTACAGCAGCTTCTGTGGTAGAGCCCTGGTCCACGATGAGGGCTCCTCTGTGTCATAAAAGTAGTAAACAAAATGGCACATACCAAGTTTGGCAGAGCAGGAAAATGCCAGAAATTCCAAGGATTTGTTTCATGCTCCATCCGTTAGACGGTCCTGCTTGAGTGAAGACCCTTGCCTCGTCCTTCCCATGGTTGTAAGGGGTGTTGAAAGTGCGTTTGTGCATGCATTTTTCTTCCTTTGCAGTGGCTCTGCTTGGGGTGTGTGCTTGCTAGGTTTTTTTAATCAGTTCATGCTGATTCTTATCGTGTGTTTGTATAATAGTTTGGGGTTGATGTAATCATTGTTACATGTATTTCATTAAGAGGTGTATGTGTGTGTGTACTTAGGTGTTTGCATAATTCATGAAGTCAAGTATGTTCACATACCCCTTGTTAGCACATGAGCACATGTAGTAAGTACATACTTCTCTCCTTTGTATCAGTGGCTCATTGGGAAAGGTGCACTGTATTTATTCAACATGTATATATGTAAAAAACCCACAAGCTCTACCATTTATTTTCTTTCTTCTACACCCACCCTAAAAACGTAAAGAAAAACACACACTTCTGCTAGGGTTCTAGGATGGTTTATTTTTTCATTCAGCCATTAGTTTATTCGTTCAGGAGTTGTACACTGGAAAAAAAGTGCATCCATTAGACAGTGAGGGCTTTATTTATGAGGGGGGTGGTGTTTCAAAGGGGAGGCTGTCAAGTCCCAAAAGAGCCTTTCATGGTGTATTCTCAGCGTGCTTCTGAGGCCACTGCTCTGCTCATCAGGAGGAGAGGCAGAAATGTGGGCTTTACAGAGCAACTGTGTGTTTCACTGGTCCCTGCGCTCACTGACGTTTATTTACATATTGGGAGAGTAAATGGGTAGAACAGATGGCAACCAGACATTTGGTGGTTCTGTTCCTGTATGCTCCTCAGGGGTCTTGCATTCAGTTTTTGCAAAAAGCTTGTCCTATAGTGAAGAGAAAAAACCCAGGAGCCTGTTCACAGCTATGAAACGCTTGTTGGGTTTTTGCGACAGATTAAAGCATTTAGTAAAACGTGAAATAATTATAAGGTTTATTTTACAAGTCCAGATACTTGTTCCGTAGTGTAAGTCCACTGGTGTGTCTCTCTCTCTCTTTTTATTATTATTTCTTATTTTTTTCCAGTGAAGTGAATGCATTTAGATTTTAAGCCGGCGACCTCTTCCTTCTTCAATCTGAGTTTGAAAAGTAGAGGTCTATTTATATGGGTCTTGGATACCTTTTGGCCTTTTCCGCAATTATTGTAACTCATTTGTGCTCTTGTAAAAATGGAACATCTGAAAATTTTGCAGCATTTTCCATGATATTTAATATATGTTTCTTCACTATTTGCAGCTATGAAGCTGGGAGATTTACTTCCATACCAAGTTGAATTTTTTTTTTAACTTTCTTTGTACACACTGGAATGTTGGCGCAGGGCTGTTCCAGAGTGCTAGGGAGCTTGCTTGAGTGGTTTGGGTTGTTTTGGGTTTTTTTCCAATGTGTGCATGTTGTTTGTTTTGTAGAAGTGATAATTAAAGCACTTCTCCTGGGCAAAACCATAATATAAAATACACATTTTGAAAATATGCTAAAAGGGGAAGATGCAAGTCAGGTTTTGAATGTGTAAAATTCTCAACCTGCACATTGTTGCTTCCTGTAAAGCAGCCAGGTAAAGTGGGGAGAAATCAAATGAAAATTGAAGAGCTTGACCTTTTGCGCAGCATGCCAAATCAGCAGCTCTAACAGTTTGTGACGTGATGAATTCCAATGACTTATTGGTAAACACATGAAACTGCCTAGCATTTGTAGGAGAACCTGTCAAATAATGTAAATGCCAGACCTCAGTTAGTCTCACCTACAATGTGGAATCTCCTAGCGTTAGATAAAGCCTGTAAAGCAAACCTTTCTCTATAAAAGGTCAATGCTGAACTAGTTCACTTTGAACCAAGATAGTTTTCAAAAGTAAAAGTAGAATTACTGATCCTCCATGAGTTAATTGACTCAGATTTTACCAAATACTTTATAGTGCCCTTCTAATTAAATAATGTCTTTTAGAAAGACAAAACTAGGAAGCCATGGCACGCTCTGCAGGGAGGCTTACCATAGTAAATGGTAGCACAGAAAGTGAAAATGGTAAACATCACGAAAGAAACACTATCTTCTTGAGAAAGGTTTAGAAGGTTGATCATTAACAAAAAATAAAGTGGAAACTTGCTACTTTTCTGAGGGCCATGCTGCACAAATATTATGTTAGGATTAGTTTAAATGAAGATAATTGCCGAACTAGTAGATTTTTGGCAGTATATTCCACAACCCACGTGAAATACAGAAAATTGTTTCTAAGTAAGAGTTTTTAGCCAGAGTATGTTGATAGTGTGCATGGTTAATGAAGCTGCTATGTCTCACTCAATATGTGACAATGTTTCTGTGATATATGCAGCAGTTCTCTTAAATACTTTGTAAGGCACTTTGGAATCCTTTGAGATCAAAATTAAATACAAGCCTGTTATTAAAAAGGACCTAACTTCCCTTTTTTTTTTTTCTTCTTTATATGGGGTATTTCTGGTTTTAGGAAATGTATTTCTAAACTGAGCCCACCATCGCAGTGCAATTACTGAGTAAATCACATCCTAGATAGTCTTTGTTTTTTTTCCCCCGATAAAATAACATAGTTTAAATATCTTTTCCAGTGGTTTGTAGCCAGATGCAAAGTCAGCTAAAAAAGATTTCTTCAGAAAGATTTCTTTTCTACATCATTATGTAACTGAAAGTAGCTGTTGTAAATACTGCAGAATTTCATGGCAGTCTTGAAAGCCATGGCTTCTGTGTCCCGCTTCCTTCCCTTAGGAGCAGATGATGGCCTTAGATGGTCACACATTTTTTATGGTCTAGATCTGGATAAGCATTAACCAAATAACTAATTCAGTAACAGCAGGACTCAAGAGAAGTGAACTGGTAAAACCCAGTAACTATTTTTGGCAGAGTATGGCAGACCCTGTGTTTTTTAAATTTAAAAAAAAAAAAAGAAGAAAAAGTTACGGGTGTATTTGTTATTGAGTTCTCAAATGCTAATCCATATGTCCATATGTGGTCATTTGTATCTCTGAAGGGTTTTGTTTTGTTTTGTTTTCTTCTTTGACAGACTGATGTCTTGGTGTTGAGCTGTGATCTGATCACAGATGTTGATTTATATAAAGTTGTGGATCTTTTTCGGACACATGATGCTACTCTCTCCATGTTGATGAAGAAAACTCATGAACCCACAGAAGTGGTACCAGGACAGAAAGGGAAAAAAAAGCCAGGTGTGTACATAGGAATACATATATTTATTTATTAATACATGATAGAGAAACCACTGGTATGTATGATATGTTTATTTACCAATCCCAGAGCGAAAGAAATAAAAAAGGTACAGACACCCTATTTTTCCTCAGATTCCCTGGTGGGGGTGTGACTTGGTTTTTTCCAGCTCAGAATTAAGTATTAGGCTCGTGTAATCTTGCAGGCTCTGATCCAAAGCTCACAAGAGTTAAGGGAAAAGCTCCAGGTGACTTCAGTGAGTTTTGGATCAAACCCTAAATTTTTGTTGCATATGAACATTAAAACCGTTAGGTTTTTCAAGAGCACTAAGCATCAGCCAGATTATAGCTGGGAATTTTACCATTGACTGTAGGGACCAGCACTAGATGGGTAACAAATACTTCTAGAAATTCTCCCTTCTCATGGTATGTACTGAATTACTCTTCTGAGATCACATCCAGGAGCCTTTTGCTAGGCAAAACTCCCACTGATTTCAAGGACTTTGTTAGATGCTTATCTTGTCCCTCTTACCATAATATCTTAGTTAGTGCCTTTGTAATCTTTAATGTATCTATTCTCACAACACTGCTGTAAGGCAGGGCAGGGCTATTATCCCCATTTTATTTATATGCTAAAAGTACTAAATACCATACAGTTGTTCCCACACCATACCTCTCATTTTCTTTTAATGATATCTGTTAAATTGCTGAGGCTTGATTGTTGCCAGCTTAGTGGGTCCCGGTCCATGAGTAAAGCTCAGAGGGACTACAGTAATACAAATAAGAAAGCATAGCTTCAGACTGTTTGAGAGAGGAGTGAAATGCAAGCCAACAGTTGGACTAGGTGTATGTCTGAAAGTGGAGGAAATGTCTTTTAAAAAGAAAGCTGCTTAGACTCTGCATGAAAAGATTTTCTGGAGCAACATGTGAGGATAGCAGGGCTGAAAGCGTCTGGGACTTGGACTCCCAAACAGCTCTAAGTCCCCCTGTTTTTGAAAAGGCAATCTAAGTGATAATGGCACATAGAACATTGTCGTGCACTACTACAGCCACAGGGTTGAGTACTTAGGAGTTATAAACTAATGGGTCTATGACTAAACCTCATAGAGCTGCCCAATACATAAGCTCTGAGCACACAGGGTGGGGGCAAGGGGGTCTGTGAGGATAAACAAGATCATCTGAAGACTCTGCAAATGTAAGCACATGAGGTTGCACATGCATTCTTAATTTACTTGGGTTTTAGTGTCTGTATGTTTGACTTTGTAGCATTACTCTTCCTAGATGACCTGTTAAAATTTGTGTATGATTTCTCAGATCTGTAAAAGACCAAACTTGAAAATATTAAAATTCGGTCATGTGGAAGTGTTTTGACACCCACAGTGTTTGTCTTTGGGGCTGGATGCTAAGGTCTCCCACTCAAAGGTACTCTACTTGAGCTGTCATATCTATGTCTAGTAAGTTGTTTTCAGTGAGCTGCCTCGGATGAGACCTGTACCCTACCAGACTTTTTTCAGTCATTTGCTAAAAGCAGGGAAGTGCTGAGACTAAGGAATTTGGGGTTCTTCTCCAGGTTCTGGAGAGGGACAAGTACATTTTAGGGAGCATTGGACCCTCCTACCTTTCATTCCTACTTGACTGAACGCACCCTATTGCTGTCAACATTGTCCTAGCTCATCCCTCTCTCTTTTTCCACGCTGGCTTCCTGCTACCACCAGCCTCCATTCTTTCTCTCTTTGCTTAGTCTCTTCCTTCAAGGATCCTTGTCAAGAGTCCAGCTTCTCTTTCTCATATATTTCTTTTTTCCTTCACTACCAGTCCCATCCCCTGTTCCACTTCTGACTTCTCATCTCAATCTGTGTCATTTCTCTGCCCATAGTCATCTTTTTTCTTCTCTTCCAATTCCTGTCTCTGGGGTCTGGTTTCCACCAGTTTTCAAGGACTACTTTCTCTCCCTTCCAGCCCATCTTGCAGAGTCCTCATTTTTATGCTTTTCTTTCCCCTCACCCTTTTGTGCTTATAAGTTTTATTTCCTTGTAAAAAACAGGTTGCAAAACCACAACAGATTCAGCTCTTTCCCCTGAAGCAGTCATCACAGCATGGCTGTGGAGCCTGATGGCTTGTGTGCTTTGCTTGTACCACCTGATGGTACAGAAGACCTTAGATGGCACCTGCTATTTGATCAGTTCTAGGAGCTGAGGAGGTGAAACAACCTTTCCTTAAGAATAAAACATGCAGAAATTTTTTGCAGCAAAAATAGAAGTCTTTAAAGAGCATGTGAAATTGCAGTTTTTCAAAGATTCATAACGGAGTCAGATGACAAAAAAGTACACTCCTGTACACAGGTCAGCAGCGCTTACTGAATGTAATGGTGCTTTTCTGAAGAACTGGAATACTAGAGCTTTTCAAGGGAAGGGCCACCTAGCTTTTAGGCTAAACACTTTTTTTCTTCTTTAGGTTTAGAAGCAGCTGAACTGGTTTTGCTGAAGTTTTCCAAATGTTCCTCCTAAGGCAGGCATCTAGCATTGGAAATTTCATCCCAATTAAAATTTGATGAAACCTGTAAGCAACTGAAGATGAGATATTAACATGGAATGTGTCAGGCAGCTTTTCATAGTATGTGGCACTATTAGCTCCTTCTCTAAATTGTGACACATATATGTACTTGCACTGTACTGTTCAAGTGTTAGTATTAGGAAATGGATCCTTAGTCCTGATGAGCCGTGAGATATATTTGAAGCTTTATTTATTGTTTCACTGTTCCTACAAAGTCATTAATTTTTTGAGAAGGAACAACAAGACTTCTATTTCATATCTTATGGAATATGATATTAAGTTGTGGCTTTTGGGGATATTATTGAACATTCAAGAACTGTGATATAAGGAACAGTTTTTAAATTAGTGTGAATTGCAGTGTTAAGCAGCTATAAATTCATACTGATGGTTTCCTGAAATGCTTGACATGACTCAGCTGCAAATTACAGAGTGAAGTTCATTAGCTTTTTTATTTAGGGGATCATATATTGACGATAATAATCTCATTGGCTTTTTTAATTGACTAATAAGAAGCATGGCGAATAATAAGAAAAAAAAAAAAAAGCAGAGTGCTAGTGAATGGTAGTAACCCAAATAAACAGAGTGTGTCAGGAATTCAGACACCCAGAATGAAGCCATGTGCTTAAAGATGACCTGCAAGGGATTGAGTGGAAAAGAGCGTCTGAACTTTTCTGTTTATAAAGAAAGGCAGAAAAGATGGGGATGGTGACTCTTTCCTGCTTGTTTTTCTTGTCTTGAAAGCAGCAGGCATGTCATCACTGGTATTCCCTGTGTTTGCCAGGAGACCTCTTGGTGGTCTTGCAGGCTGCATCGTGTGAATTCTCTCCCTTTAATTGAAAGGGTGGGGATACTGAATCTTTAACAAAGGTGTCTTTTTCCCAAGTGTCAATTAATTATGCTTGATTAAAAAGTATTTTAGAAAATCTGACTAAAAATTATTTCTTCTCATCACTGAATTGCTCAACTTCCATTTTTTTGTGATGTCATGGTTTCTTTAGGTCATTAAAGCCTTCACAATTGATGAGGTTCTAAATTTTAAGGTAATTAATAAATTGCAATAGTTGTGTCAAATCCTTATTTATCTATTGTGAGGAGGCAAAACACATCCTGCATTCCATTTTTATACTTTAAATGATTTTTTAGTTACCATCACTGCAGCTTTAACATTTTTCTCATACTTCCCTTGCAGGGATTTTATAAACTAGTTATGTATTCATTCTTCCATTTATTTTTTTTCCTCACTAAGTAATGCCCATGTGATTTGAAACATCACTCTTGTATCTCTGGGTAATTGATTTTAGTAATAACTTTTGTCTTTTCTAAATTACAAAAGTAATGCAATTTATTGCCAGTGTACAGGGAAAAACCTAACCTGACCTGGCATCCACTACTGAAAGAAATACAGGGCGCTTGCATCATTTCACTGTCTGTTTCTTACCTATGACACAAGCAAGAGAAACCGGTTTGGTGGCAGTCATGTACCGGGTCCCATTTTCATTTTCTTTTTCCCTGTTTTCGTATTGCATAGAGCTTTGCAATAGCAGTGTAATATGCTACTGTAGGAATGGTCAGGAGATGGGCAGCCACGACCTGAAATTTGAGAGAAGTGTTGGTACCTTGATGGAGGAAAATCTATCACTGTTGTGTTTCTAGCCTGTCGGGAGACCCTGGTTAGGTGGCAGTGGTGATGGTTGGTTAGCCACTACTCCCAAACTTCATCGCCCTCCTTAGCATGAGAATCAACACTGCTTTCAAGACTTATTTCTGAGTTTTTACAGCAAGTGAGCTTTATCCTAATTGTACTTAATTTGTGATAGTGTTACATGTTCAGGCCTATTTTTGTACTACTTTGCTGTATGATTCATTTCTGAGAAGGGATGGGGGGGATTTCTGAAGAGGGTATGCTTGATCGCTTGGATCAAAGGCTGCCAGTAGGAGAACTTTCAACAGCTTCGTGGATTTGACTGTATTTTGATAGTTGTTATTGCTATGGTAACTCTGAAGGAATGGGTAAAAGGAAAATAAGGGATAGGGCTGAACTGGGGAAAACAGGGTTAAAAATAGTTTAGCTGAGAAAAGATCTTAGAGAATTAATTACTTATAGAGCATGCTGTTACTCCAATGTAGTTAAAGGCTTAGAACTTAGGAGATTGAGTATTTGCCAGTTTGGCCTAAAATAATAGTATTTAGTGGGAGAAAAGAGGGTTTTGTTAGAACTGTACCATTGTATTCTTGTACAGCTTGCGTTCCTGTAAAGATCAGCATTTGGTTGCCACCGGAGTGATGGAACATACTGCAAAATGCAAGTTAGAATAGGCTGCCACCACCATATTCAGATGTTGTGGAAAACTATTCAAAAATAAATGCTTTATATTTCAGTAGACCAAAATCACCGTCACTGATCGCAGGAGATGGGAATTGCCACAATAATATATGTGACTATTAGGTATTCTCTCGGTTGGCAGTTTTATAGATATTTAAACCAAGTTAACCCACCCAGAAACATCAGTGGTAGGAGTTTTAGAAGATATACTTTTATGTGTGTTTGTGTATGTGATTTAGGTTTTCTATTGCTATCAGTATTTATCTGAAATAAGAAATCAGTTGCAAAGCAGTTAAGTCTAAACTGAAATCATAGTCCTTTCCAGACCACCAAATTCTAATTTGGAATGATTTATGATGAGGAAGAAGCTGTTGGATTTTGAAGAACTCTCTGCTTGCCTTGGGTTTGTTGAGTAAATTCAGGTAGCAAGGGGTTTTTTATTTTAAAAAAAAAAGAGAGAGAGAGAGAAGGAAAGCACAGCTGAAGATGAAGTGTTGCATGTCAGGACCTGAAGTTGGCGTCTTCATAAAAAGGATGCAAAAAAGCTTGTAGGGCCAGTGTTTTGAATGCCATGATATGTATCAGCTACCCTGGCTGAAAAGAAGTTAATAAATATTGTGGATAACTTTTGCGAATTCATTAATTTGCTGAGTTAGTCTGACACCTAGTATTTCATATTTTGGGGGTGGTTGGTGGTCCCATTTGTCTTTCCAGTCTGCATTAAGACAGGGTTATATAATGATTGTGTTTGATTTTCTACTTCAGTGGAGCAGCGTGACTTCATTGGAGTGGATGACACAGGAAAAAGATTGCTCTTCATGGCTAATGAAGCTGACTTGGATGAAGAACTTGTCATTAAAAGATCCATCCTTCAGAAGTAAGCTCATGAGTCCTTGGGATAGATACTGAACTTGGGATGGGGGAAAATAACTGTGGACTAGGAGTGATGGTTAAAGACAAAGTAGGATGAGAAGGGGAGAGGAAATGCAGCTTTGGCAATATTCAGGGAGCAGCATTTTATTATTCATTACTTCATTACAACAAGTTGATAGGCTTGTGAAAAATTCCAGGGGAAAAAAAGGAGTGGTGAAAAGGTAACTCTCCTTGAAATGAAGCCAGTGTCGCTATAGTTCAGGTACAGATTAGATTCAGAGATTCAGAAGTGGTAGACGTATGTTCATAAATGAAATGCTAGTGTCATTGGCTGAGTCCCAGATGGATTTACAGAGTATCTGAGAAAGCCTCTCAGGATTTCATGACATTCTTGTGCATATAAGGCACAAAAGCTCAGCTGTGTTTCCAGGCCCCAAAAAATTCTTTAGACAATCCATGTTATACCCACCCTTAAACTGCACTGGGGACTTGGATGAATTTATTAAATATGCCAGACTAGCTGAGCTTCCTGCACATCATAATTCATATCTGTTAGTAGAAGAATGAAAGATGGCTTGTTGCTCTTTACGCTCTTCTGTACAGTGATTTTAATTTTATCAGACACACATTGTCTGACATTTTCTGTGGAAAGCTCTGCTGGCTCCTTCAGACCCAGCCTTTGTAGTCTGTCCTAGGCTGACAGTCAGACAGACTTTCACCTCTGTGAGATTACACACCTACAGGGCAGCCATCTGAGAGCTGGGAAATTCATGCATGTGGACCTTGTAAGTCAAGGATGCGGATATCTGGGGTCTGCTCCCAGATAATCTCTTCTGTGAAAATGCCTCTGGTGTGTGCTGCAGGCCACAGCTATAGGTGTAATCTTTGCCTGAGCATCCTGCTACCAGATGCAAGGGAGGTGCTGTGTGCCCGTGGAAAGATGACTCCTCTTCTGCCTGAGTTTAAGGATTACCCTAGAAGGAAGGTGGTCAAGAGTGAGCCATGTGTTAACTGCTGTGATGGAAAGAGCCTGTCCCAGCATGTTCCCTCTGGCTCTCTCCTGGGTTTTTCTTGGAGGTGGCAGGGACCAAGGTGCAGACAAGCCCTCTGTACATACACAGCAGCTGATCTGCATAGTGTAGGAAATTCAGCATTGTTGCCTTCGGTGTTTTCAAGCAAACAAAACCTAATAGATCTATTTTGGACTAGGGAGGAATATTTTATCAACTGTTAGTGATAGGCTTGTCTGTATGGCTTTCTCCTAGCATTAGCTGGTGGCTGTGATAAAACGATTTAGAAATTGCTGTAACATCTGTGATCTTAGTTGACCTCTGATTTTACAGGTTCATCTAACCAGAGGATTCTCATTCCTGTTATCCTATAGCTAAATTAATCAGGCTTTATCCTGCAGGCAAAACGTTGCCTTCAGGAACACCTGTTCAGATACATTGTCATCAGCAGATCTTCTTGAGCATAACTGTTTGGGATTTGGTGAATGTAGTGTTGGTGATATACAGATGGGATAAAAAACTGTATGTTTCCCTGTCTTTCTTACTTTTTCATATGCATAGCTATCAAAGCTAATGTACCCTCCAAGTGAAGCCCACCGATGATAGGGTAGTCTAGAAGCACAGAGAGAAGATCTGCTAAGTGTTAAAAAGAAGAAAAAAGAAATTAAGGAAAAGATCCTCTCAAGCATCAGGCAGAAGCATTGGGCCAGTATCCACCCGGGTGAGCCTCTGACAGCTGAAACTGCCTGCTGTGGATACTCATGCATTCTCTCTGTTTTACAGCTGCCATCTTGGAGCAGCTCTGAGGGAAGCAAAACTGTATATGGAAATTGTCAAATATTTTCAAATGAGGCAATTCCAGGGTAGCAACAACTGTGGGAGCTCTAGGAAGACAAAAGTGTTGGCAGCTAGTGATGTTTTAACCACTGTGTTGTCTAGACCTGCTCAAACCCTGACTTTCTCATGTGAGAAACAAAAGCGACGCTTAAAATGATCTTTGAAGTCTTTTTTTTAATACATTGTAGTAAGGAGGGGGGGGGAAAGAGCAAGCCCAATCTCGTTTTTCTTCATGGATCACTTCAAGTGACTGACTTTCAGCTACCATGTTGGCTGTTTCTTGATCTCCGGACTTTGTTTTGATGAAATAACAGACTGTGGCAAGATGGGAGAATTTCCAGTACACTCATTTGTTCCTCTGTAAAATACAATAGACATCTTGAGGGTGTTGCTTTTGTTTGTTTTGTTTTTAATGGTCCCTTTGAAGGGCTATGGTGGTCTTGTTACATGAACTCTAGAACTTCTTCCGTGCTTGTTTTGCTCTTCAGATCCTTTTCTTTTTCGATTTTCTTTTTTCTCTCCCTTTTTAAGAAGGGGAGTGGAAGGAGGGACAGGGAGGGAGTGGTGAAAGGAATGGGAAGAGGGAAGATGAACTTTTCTTTAAAGCTAGGAATCTTGTTACTGGTAAAATCTAGATCCCATACAGAAATGGTTCAAAGGACCTTTGGCTTCCCCTCCTCACAGGAGGGAAGCTGTGTTGACAAAACATCCAAAGCTGTAGAACGCTAATTTAAATCCTTGAAGGAAAACCTTTTTTCTGACCTTTGCCTTCTTCCTATCACTGGATTTCACGCTCTTCACTTTCCTGCCATAAAAGAGCAGCTGGGGGGGGAGGGACAGGGAAAAACATACATTCTCCTGAGTACCTGTTGAGTATTAAATATTTATTTGCTCTTGACTCAGGCATTTTGTAATAATGGAAGTGTTACAGAGTAAAATATTTTAATAGCGTTTCTAAGTTCATGCGTAATCTGTTATTCTCTTTCTCTCTTTGGTTAGGATTCCTTTTCCAGATTTGTTTTTGGGTTTTGTGAGTTGTGGATAGCCATTTTAGTTTTGAGGATGCCTCTCCTTTTTACACCACAGAAAGGTCTGGATTTTGCTCCTTTGCTTGCCAGAGCAAATCTGGCAAATCTTTCCATTCAGCTGTTAAAATTATCCTTTTTTCCCCCCCGTGCTGTTAATCACCCTGATGACAAGTCCCACAGGTAGCATCCTCCCTCCAGTAAACAAGTGCAAAACAGTATCAAATACATCCATCCAGGCACGTTTTGGTGTGCATCAGGATGGGCCAGGAGACAAATTTATTGGTGGTGCCTAGAGACACTAATGCTGCCGGGGAAAGCATTTTCAAGGAAATGGTTCCCTGTTTGGGTAATGAGAGCTTATAAAAAGCCATGAACAGCCTGTGCATGTCATTCACTTTGGCAAATAGCTGCAAGATGAGATACTAGAATGAAAGAAATACAGTTTTGGGAAGTTTCAGAGCCAGCTTAGGGCCCTTTGAAGAGGAAAAAAAAATAAAGTTATGTGCTCATCCCTGGAGCCTGGTTTTGCCAGTGACATCTCTCTGACTTGGGTCTTGGCAGGATGAAGGAGTGAGGAAATGATGAGAATTCCATAGCTGCCACCTTTGCTTTCGGAGGGGGCAAAGGTATTTGTTTTCAAAGCACGATTACAATGGACAGGCAGCTTTTTGCTCCACCTCTGATATTTATGGTCATGCAAAGTGAGACAGTAAAAGACACCTGTTGGAGCAGGTCTAAATTTGGAGCATTTCCTTTTAAGATCTTGTGGGCTGTGTAAGGGTGAGTTCAGCCTTCGTGGGTGTTCTGTCTGCACAGACGCAGGTGCAGGGCTTCTCCTAGAGAATATGTTAATAAATCACCATGACAATTCCAGCTACTTATTACCTCATGTGCTTCAGACAGAAAGGAATACCTCATCTATAAATATATACAGTACTAACATTAGTAACCTTGAAGTAACAATGCAGATCTGTTTTTAAGATATTTTAATAAAAAGAGGGGGGTAAGATGGGGGAGTTTTTTCTTCCTTTTCCCCTTGCATCATGAGAGTAAAAATGAATGGTGTAGTATAATTTTAAAAGTCAGCGTTGCCAAGTGGGTAGGTAATGGGAGTTCAGGAATAGCTTTGATACACTTGATTTCCTTTCTGTTGCCTTGGGATATTGCCTTTTTTTTTTTTCTACTGATAATTTGTTTTAAATAACTGGATCATATATAAACACGCTGCAGCTTTCTTAGTGTTTGTGTTCTCTGGAACTGCCCTCCTTGGGAAACTGGCATCTCTGAAATACTCTGCCACTCCCATGGTGGTTCTTTCTTTTTTTTTTTTTTTTTTCTTTTAAAATCTACTTCCATGAGAAAGGCTGGGAATGATACAGGTATAGGCAGGTGCTCCACTGTGTAAGGCATCTTAAATTAGATCATGGGCAGATGTCCTCTTCCAGATCCAGCTGTGCTGGTGAAGGGGGCCACCACCTCCAGCTTGCCCCCAGCTGTATGTATGATCAAGTACTTCATAAGCCACGTGTGTCAAAATGAGTTGCGTTACTTTTAATAGATTAAACAGCAGGACTTTGATAACTTGGTTCTTTTTACTTTGTGTGTTAGGGAGTGGTCCCCACAAGCAGTGCCACTGGCAGGGAAGGGAGTGACACGATAACCCAACTCAGTGGGAGAATCCTGAGGAGCAACTCAGGGCAGACCAGGGAGCAAAAACTTTGCTAGGCTCAGCTGTCTACAGGATGAATGTACATGTATTAGCTTTGGTGGTGGTCCCATGTTGGAAAAATGAGTAGTTTTCACTATGAGCAAACTTTTGTTACTAAGTTTCGTTTGCTTTCAAGTGATATTTTAAGGAACGCTATGAAAAGATGTTGGATATATCTTTTTTTCTCTAAAATGTGACTTTTAGAGAGTGTTGTGTAGATTTTCATGTCTTTCCAATTAGCCCAGATCTGCTCTTGCTGTTATTCCCAGATCTGTTCTTTTCATAAATAAAAATAAAATTTTCTGACTAGCATCCAGAAAGTAAGTCAGGTTCTTTTTGGCTCCTCCATCACAAAAATAGAAATTGTATGTGTTGATTTAGGTAATAATCCTTTTGCAGATGCACAAGCCAGAAAATAATC